TATGACTTGTCTATATATATTGTAAATTGTAACAGGTTTTTGGCATAAATGTTTTTATATTTTAACACTTGTAAAATAACTTCAAGTAGACGAGGTTTTTGTGGGTTTTAAATAGATTTCATGTTAAAAACACACACAAATATTTTTATTTGTCAGTTTGCTAATTATGGCTTTACTAATGGTATTGATCTATATTTTTGTTAAAGCTAATGGTATTGATCTAAAAAAAATCATTTAGTATAGATTAAAAAAAAAATTATTTTACCAAAAACAAAAAAAAAATTACACATGACCTTTTAATTAACCAAATTTTTATATAAAAAAACGAAAACAGGAGCTTGGGGGCTAGATACGCGAAAGAGACGAAAGAGATGTTTGAGATGATGGTAAAAGCTATCTTAGAGAGCCTTGAAATCAACGACCGCGACGAGGCGGCAGAGGAGTTGGAAGAGGGAAGTCAGGTGGTGGTTGTGAACTGTTATCCGCCGTGTCCGGAGCCGGAGCTAACGTTGGGGATGCCACCGCACTCTGATTACGGCTTCTTAACGCTTCTCCTTCAAGACGACGTCGAAGGGCTTCAGATTTTGCACCGTGAAGAATGGGTCACTGTTGATCCCATCCCTGGCTCTTTTGTTGTCAACGTCGGCGATCATCTCGAGGTATATATTATCATATTTTCTAAAAACATTTTCAATCTATTATTTTTAACAAACAATTTTTTTTGATCATTTATATATCCCATCAATTGTTTTTTGTTGTTGTGTCTAAATAATTTATATCTGAAAACCGAATGATAGCAAGGGATGATGAAATATTATAATTAAACCGTTAATTCATAATTCAAATATGTTGATGCTTCATGCTTGAGAGTTGAGATAAAACATTCTTATACAAAAATTTATATTATTATTAGTGTGTTTAACGCTACAAAAGCTAATTTCGAGTTTACTCAAGATTTTTTTTTTGTCCACTCATTAAGAAATATATGATTACCACATCAAAATTAATTTCCAAAATTCTAATTACATATATGTTTTTTCTTTCTTTCTAAGCTCTTGTTGTTATGGTTGATTATAATGATTAAAATTAACATTTTTTTGGTTATTATTATATGTAGATATTTAGCAATGGGAGGTACAAAAGCGTGTTGCATAGGGTATTGGTGAACCCCACAAAGCCTAGGATATCGGTGGCGTCGCTGCATAGCTTCCCTTTGACGTCCGTCGTGAAGCCATCTCCAAAACTCATCGACGAACAGAATGTACCGAAGTACATGGAAACCGATTTCGCCACCTTTCTTCAATATGTATCGTCTCGTGAACCCAAATGGAAGAATTTCCTTGAATCACGCAAGATACACTATGTACGATGAATGAATTACCACTTTTTCTATTGTATTAAATTGTGTTACAGATTTACATCATATGATTAATTAAAGAGAAAGAGGAACAATATACACCAAGCTATATCTTTCCTCATGGACATCATTAATGGCCGACTACCTATTAACAAAGAAAACGAGTTATGATTTTTACAAAATTTAAAGAAAGAGATTAGAGGGATGATAATTTGTTCCTTCAACTCACGTTTCAAGTTCTGTTATTTAAATTTTGTTTCTTCTAGTCTCCCTTCAACTCTAGTCATCAATATTGTGGGGGTGACTAACTTTGTCGAATTACAGGAAAGAAAATATAGTCACGTATGATTAATTGGGTTGACAAAATCCTATAAGCTTTTTATCAAAAAAAAAAAAATCTCAAAAGATGAAAAATTAAATTTATCCAAAAGGATAGGAATATAATGAGAAATATAGAAACGATAGACAAAAAGAGAAAATATATAAAAGTGACCAAATGAAGGAAAATATATCTAAGCTAGAAAAAGAGAGGAAAACACATAAACGTAATAATTACATAAGATCGTAGTCAACAAAATTAACATTTTCCGATGGATTCTATCCTTTACAATAACTCAATATCTTTGCAAAGGGGTACGCACACAATTCTCATCATTTCATAAGCCATAAGAAACATGATTGAGTGGGAAAGAGCGAAGGATGATGGTTTGTAAGAGTTTGGTTATCGTTGGTCTTCACCAATGTAAGAATTTTTTCAAATCTTATTTTCTTATTTTCCACAAACCAAAATTGATACTACCTATATACGTATGTAGTCTACTTTTCACACTTGTCAATATTGGTTCAATTCGTTAATGAACAATATTAATAAATATTGCTTGATGTATGATACACGAGGTCAACTTGAGCCTCATGTGAAGGGATTTGAAAGGTGTGCTCGAAAATATATAGGAAAACCATAGCCGACGTTGGAGAAATCGTGTTGTATCGAAGCTCCTGAAATGAGTTTTATCAAGCGTTTGACTAACCCTTTTCTATGAATGATGTTCAGATGATGATTCCTATATATATTGATTTGGTTTTAACTCTAGACATTCTTCCATTCTTCCTAGAATTGTGGAATCATCATCTGAATATCATTCTGAAGTTTTCATGTATTTCTATGAATCGTTATTGATGAAACGCTGGATTTAGATGCTGAAGTTTGAGCAGGCTTTTGAAGTACCAAAGGAATAGGGTCCTTGATGGTTTAGAATAAATCCCATTGTGATTTGCGACTAAGATAGAGACATGCACGGAAGAAAGTCATCCTCAAAAGCTTTAGAGCGCAGATTTTGTTCCTACGAAACAGAATCCCTAATGCCAAGTCCTCCCTCAAATTTAGCAAAAAAATGAAAAGAAAAGTCCTCCCTCATTCAACGGGTTTGATACAGATTTCCAAGCAACACGAGCTCCACGACAAATTTACGTGTGTTATGGAACATCTGTTCGGTGAGCTAATTGAAAATATAAAAGCAAATTAATATAAGTATGACAAGATCAGAAGAAATACCTACATAATTGCGAAAAAGACATAGAGTGAAGGATATGGAAATATCTTTTTTCAAACAAAAAAAAGGGATATGGAAATATCTAATTATTTTTTTCTGACAAAAACGAGAAAACGATAAAAGTACCTAAATAAAAGAACATAATGGTTCGTTTTGGTATCACATTTTAGAGTTTCAAATTGCATAAGGGTTCGGTTTTGGTTTCGGTTTTTAACCGAAT